ATAAATAGAAAATAGTTTGTGACCAGGTGCATCGGGACAATTTTGAAATTTACTTAGGAATACATATTCCTTCCTGAAGGAAGGAATTAATTCTGAATGAATTCTGAACGTATAAGACCCTGGAAACGCCACAACAGCCACTGCCGAGGGGTCTCAGTAAGAGGCAGGCTCAGTTTTCCCCATGGAGCTGTTTTGCAATTACACTGCAGTTGGCTACCAGGCATTAAACGGTGCATTGCTACACCTGGGAAAAAAGAGAAGGGCTGATCTATTTCTCAGTGCCTTCCTTTTGTCTGATGTAGAAAAGCATCTCAAAAGTCTCTGCTGTCATGCTGGAAAAATGTCTTTTTTTTTTCATTTTCGTGAGGATCCTGCACTGAGATGAGTCACAGAATCACAGAATGTCAGGGATTGGAAGGGACCTCAAAGGATCATCTAGTCCGATCCCCCTGCTGGAGCAGGACCACCTAGATCAAATTTGAGTCAAATACAATAAAGCTGGTTTCTGTATTCCTGAGCCTGCTCTGGCTACGCTGAGACTTTGACTTGCAAACTGTTTACATGGAGTTGTTTGGAAAGAGAAAGTTGTGAGCACTGTTCCTCACTCTATCATCATAAGTTGGTTTTGTCACCCATAGTAACTACTCACAAATGTGCGGTGACAGTGGTTGAAATGGAAATACAGAAGTTCTTCTCTGAAAATGAGGAAATGTTGTACTAATAAGACCAATTTCAAGACTGAAATACAAAATTAAATCTGTTCTGTATGTGTGAATCACACCAGAGTGGAACTTAAGTATCCAGTACCTCAAGGGGGCCTACAGGAAAGATGGGGAGAGGCTGTTCAGGAGGGCCAGTTGTGATAGGACAAGGGGTAATGGTTTTAAAATAGAGGGAGGTAGATTCAGATTGGACATTAGGAAAAAATTTTTTACCATGAGAGTTGTAGAACACTGGAACAGGTTGCCCAGAGAGGTGGTGGATGCTCCATCCCTGGAGATGTTCAAGGCCAGGTTGGACGAGGCCCTGAGCAACCTGATCTAGTTGGAGATATCCCTGTTCCTTGCAGGGGCGTTGGACTAGATGACCTTTGAAGGTCCCTTCCAGCCCTAACCATTCTATGATTCTATCCAAGTAGGCAAGAAATTCTACTGGAAAAGAAAATGAATAGTATAGGTAGAAGTCATTTACTCATTTGCCACTTTAAAGAGAACAACTAATTGGAATCTGCTTACAGCTTTCAATTGATAGCTTTAGTTTCCCAGTTGATCTTGTTGGGGCACTGATTTCCAGAAGTAGAGGTGAAGCTTGGACTCTGTTTTGCCTTGTCCTGCTGGGTCGCTTCTGTATTTAGTGAGCTCATTAAGAGCCTGTGTAGCTGGAGCAAATCAAAACAAGCTGTAGTACTAAAATATTTAGAGTTTTGCTACGTTTCGGTTAATGATGAGAACAATCACAGTATTTTCTGATGGACAGGGGCGGGCAGGAGCACACTGTTAAGTGGCTCTCTTGGTGCTTGTTCATTCCCTGTATGGTTGGTGGAATAAGAATTTGAAAGGCTTTTTCTTCTGGATACTGGATTGCAGGTTTCTGTTTGAAATGTTTAGATCTATTACCTCTTTTTAAAGCTTTAACTCTGTAGTTGTTACAGAGCTGGTGTCTGAAACAATCTTGTAGTAGATCTTCTGTCACTCAAGCTTTTAGCCTGTGCACAGAGAATCATGGATTTGAGTTAATTAAAAGATAGATTTTCTTGGCAAATTACTGTATTATATAATTTCAAGTTATGCATTTGAGTGCTGAATAAAATTAGAACCAATAATCTCAACAGGCTTGCCACTCTACAGCCAGTGACCTTTCAGGAGTTAAAAATAAAATGTAGTAGACATCAATAGCTTATTGAAGAAACACTCCTTTTTTCTTCATAATTTGCAGAAGGCTGCAAATGTCAGTCATGATGTACTGCCCCTCGAAATTAGTCAATAGAGCAAACAGCACGAATTGCTGTGGGCAGAAAATAAGCACTGTAATCATGACATAACTGGGGTCAGTGATTTATGGATTTCAATATAGTAGTAGCTGCATATGATTGAAAATTTACTAGGTCACTAGTGCACCAAAAATTTTATTCGCAGCCTCCGGGCGTCTTTGGAAATGTGCAACAAAATAAAAACCTCTGAACCTGTTTTGACACTGTGTGGGCTCAGTGGATGACACGCCAACCCAGTGAGTCTCATTTAAATGCAAATGCGTCACCAACTTCTGCACCAAATCCTTTCTAAATGTATAAAATGCCTACAAGAACCTTCTAGACAGGATTGACATCCACGGTCAAACTTTAAAGAAGATTATGAAAATAATCTCTTTCTGGTTTTTTTTGTGGGTTTTTTTTTGGGTTTTTTTAGCTGGAAGCTGAAGCTGTGCCTGAAGTATCTGAAAAATACGGAATTAGTTCTGTTCCAACGTTCCTATTCTTTAAGGTAAGAGAAAATGGATTCCATGTGGACTCTTAAAACGTGTGTACTTTAAGACTCCTATCTCAGAATAGCAGAACTTTAAGAACTTTCTCAGTGAACAAACACTTAATGTATCTGATTTAAATCTATCTGGTGGAACCTAAAAAAAGATAGAAATGGTTCTTACACCTTATATGTAATATTTCAGAGCTTCCTTAATTGCTTTGGGATTCTTACATGGTTTTTATTCTAGTTGTCATACCCTGTATTGGGTCCAGAAATTTTCAGTAATGTTTGCTTGTCTAGCTATAGTTCTACAGCACAGGAAAAACCCAAGTAAATATTTTGGTAGAAGTTACAAGTCTGTTTGGGTCACGTTTGCCTGTGACAGTAAAATTCAAAATATTTTCTTTAATAAATTCTTCTAACAGCAAATTTGCTAGCATTGACAGTAGCCAGCCAGCAGAATGGTGTGTAGTCTTGGAACTAAAGACCGGCTAAAAGATCAATACACTAATCCACCCTGCATCTGAAAATCTATACTTTATATGGTGGTTTTATTATTTTTTTATTACAGTACAAATTCTGAATGTAATCCTTTAACACGAGCCTGTGTTTCGGTTGCCTTAGAATTCCCAGAAAGTTGACAGACTAGATGGTGCCCATGCCCCAGAGCTGACCAAAAAAGTGCAGCGCCACGCGTCCAGCAGCGCCGTTCCTGCCGGCTCCAACGCCAGTGCCAGAGAAGATCTGAATGTGCGTCTGAAGCAGCTCATCAATGCTGCCCCTTGCATGCTCTTCATGAAAGGGTCTCCGAAGGAACCTCGCTGTGGTAAGGATCTCCTGGAGTTCGTGTTCAGTGGGACAGTCTTTGCTTTGGGCCAGTTGTCAGATCTACTCAGTTCTGGGGAGATGGATCCCAACAGTGTCTTGTGCACCTGGAAACGGGAATGAAAGGGTTTTCATGTTGCTTGTGTGCAGCTGGAGCACTGCTGCTCCCTTTGTTCTGTTTTGGAGATGGAATTGCAGAGATTGGGGGCTTTCTAAAGAACGTGTGATTTGCAGTGCTGTCCTTCAACTAGGAGCTTTTCATGAGGTAACTCCGTGTTTGTTCATGACATGTTCTGTGTATCGGATTGCATACTGTGAGAATATAGAATAGTCTGGATTAACAGGAATTGACTTAGCATCCAGGATTACTGTTGTTGCCATTTGAAAAAGAAAATAAAACTGTCCTAGCTGGTAAAATTGAAAGACCGGTAGCATGTGTTTCTGCTACAGTGGGAATGCCTTTTCTTAAACCTAGTGCTCTTAACCTTTGTTCCCTGTTCAGGGTGCCTGGTTCCTGGCTAACTTCAATTATTGACCTGTATGGAAAGCAGCACGTGAATAAATGTTAAAACCCAAAATTTTTCAGTAGTGCGAAGCTCCCATCCCTCTACTCACGCAGTCTCAAGAAGTTGCCTTGCAGAACTGATTTTGTAGAGCCGTCTGTGGTGAGCTGTGGGAGGTAAACAGAAGAGTAACACTGATGTGGGATGGAGGGTGCTTGACCAAACAGGCTCTTGGCAGCTCTTGTTTGGTTATGGCTCCCTCTTGTTCTGGTGTAGCTCTAGGGGCGTTCAGCAGTTGACACCACAATGCTTTCCAGGTTCTCTCCTTTGAGTGTAATCCTAGCCTGCCTTTGCTGAAGTCTATCTTCAACTGTCAGCCTGCTTCTAACCCACCGGTCTTTTTCTACTAGTATCTTTGAGCAGTGAACGTCTAGCTGCCAGGTTCTGTGCTGTTTTTTCATGTACACTTGCTCCTCACGGCCCATATTCCCTTTTGAAAAAAAACAAGGAGCAAAATGCAATCTGGAAAACCAACCATTCCTCATCTCCAGAGCTTCACTTGGAATGGAAAGACTGAAAATGTCTTATTCTGGGGACGGTGGCAATAAGATATAATTAAAAAATTCCAAAACTGAGGGGAGTGACAGGCAATGAGGAAAGAACTTGGCTTGACTTCTTATGTCCTTTCTCTCCCCAAATTGAATGACAGATCAAATGTTGCAGCTTCTACAGTTAACTTCTCTAGAGTAGCTGACACTGAGATGACCAAGATTGGGTTCCTTTGCTAAGCAAAGTATCCTGTGGGGCACATCCCATCAACTGCATTGCTGAGCCAAAGACATGAGGGAATTGTGAAACCTAACAGGAGAATAAGAAAAGAATTAGCAATAGCCAGGGCCTTACAGGCAAGCTCCTGCAGAAAGGACTGTGGCATATGTTTATGGAACCAATAAAGAGTTGATAACTGCTCAGAAAGTTAAATTGTCCTGCAAAACCTTGGTTTTGTGTCTAAAACCAAATAATGAAAATACTTGTTTTGTATGTCTGTGCATGAATTGCAGTAGCAAGGGCAGGCTTGAAAGATTCCTCATGTTTCTGTGTCATGGCAGAGATGCATGTGAACTGAATGTGTTTTAAACTCTTTGAGGAGGGAAGTGGGGATTCATGGACCTGTTCTTTTTGACTTCCTTCTGGCAAGGACTCAGCAGGGGCAGCCTAGAGACAGAGCAGTGCTGGTCCAGTGTCCACCAGTGCTTGGTTCCAGCTATTGGTGTGGTGTGGCGACGTGTTGGTGCTCTGTTCACATAACTGCCAAATATCCTTGTGGTGTGTGTGTACTGCTGATGGTCCAGCTGTGGAACATCTCCCCATGGTTTGAAGTATTAAGTTCAGTTAACAGTTTCAAGTGCAGACATCCTTATGGAGCTGCTTCTTGTGCATTCTGCTAGAGTGTGTCCAGGAAATTCCCACAGAAACCGAGTGGAGAACTATGGAAAGGAGAATGGGTGAAATAGCATGAAAGGACCTAAAAGAAACGGATTTTACATGTTCTGTCCGTTTATCTTAATCTGGAAGGATTTAGATTGCTGTATCACTGTATGCTGTTGAAATCGGGGGGACAGGAATGATAACGACACGGAACACATTGATGTGGTGAAGTGAGAATGATGCAGATTTGAGATGTGACTCCCCAAACAGCCTTTGCTGGTTTGCGTTGCATCTGTGAAGGCATTTTGTTACAGAAGAGCTGTTCATGCAGGTCTGTATAGTTCTGGTTACTGAAATCCAGGATTTGGGTCCATAAATAAGAGTCCTTCCGTTACCTTAAGGCAGTTTTTGGGTTGGGACCAGTGTGTGACAAATGAGGGAGCTGAGTCAAGTGGTATCAGCGGTGAAGCTGTGGGGTGAGCCTGTCGGGGTTGAATTGCAAAAGGAAGCTTTGGGTGGATATGGGGCAGGAAAGGAGGAGAGCAACGTGTGCTGGCAGCCCACAAAGCCAACCGTGTCCTGGGCTGCATCCAAAGCAGCGTGGGCAGCAGGGCGAGGGAGGGGATTCTGCCCCTTTGCTCTCGTGAGACCCCACCTGGAATACTGCGTTCAGCTCTGGAGTCCCCAACACAAGAAGGACATGGAGCTGCTGGAACGGGTCCAGAGGAGGCCATGAAGATGATCTGAGGGCTGAAGCACCTCTGTATGGAGACAGGCTGAGAGAGTTGGGGCTGTTCAGCCTGGAGAAGAGAAGGCTCCGGGGTGATCTTCCAGCAGCCTTCCAGTACTTAAAGGGGGCCTACAGGAAAGCTGGAGAGGGACTTTTTATAAGGGCATGGAGTGATAGGACAAGGGGCAATGGATTTCAACTGAAAGAGGGAAGATTTAGATTGGATCTAAGGAAGAAATGTTTCACTCAAAGGGTGGTGAGGCACTGGACCAGGTTGCCTGGAGAAGTTGTGGCTGCCCCATCCCTGGAAGTGTTCAAGGCCGGGTTGGATGACGCTTTGGGCAACCTGGTGTAGTGGAGGGTGTCCCCACCCATGGCAGGGGGTTGGAACTGTGTGAATTTTGAGGTCCCTTCCAACTCAAACCATTCTGTGATTCTATGGGAGTGTCTGCCAAGCGCTGGTAACCAGGGGGAGTGCAGCAGAACGCGTACTGCCGTTTTCGAGGAGAAGGCTTGTATGTAAAAGCCACAAAACGATATTTGAAAGAGAAGTAGTGGTTAAAGTGTGTCAGACATGCATGTCGGTCTGGGCCCAGCGCTGAGGAGGGTAATTCCCCCCTGGCAGGGCGGGACGAGTCCTGAAGCTCTGTCCAAGTGGCTTCAGGTCCATTTCTTGCTGCCTCTGCCCTCCATAGCTAAGTGTGCTTTCTGCTGCTTGTAAAGTATGTGCATGCCGTTTTACAATCTGCTTTTTCAGATGTTGCTGTAGAAAGATTACGGAAATATGAGGGGAAGTGTGAGATCCTGCGTGTTCTGAGGCTTCCTGTGCTGTACTGGGCTTCTACTGTGTTGGTGTCGGCACGCTCTGTTTTTCTCCTTCTTTTTCCCTGTCTAATTTTAAGGCTGCCATTTCATTTCAGTGCACTAATAGGTCCCAGAATCACTTCAGGAGAAACAGTTTCAGAAATAACTGCAGATTTTAGAACTTTCACGTTCATTGTGCTGCTGTGTGTTAGCTCGGGATTCTAGCTGTTTGTGCGTAGGTGTTTGCTCCTCTGAAGAGCTGGTGAACTTTCATCTGTTTATGTACAGATAGTTCTTTTATTTGTGTTATCTGGCAATATTAGATTAGGTTGTAGATGTGTGAAAGTTACATATCGACATAGGCATTTATAGATAATTTTGTAGGAATTGAAATTCTGGCTTGTTCTGAAGTGAAGTGCATAGAATCACAGAACAGTTTGGGTTGGAAGGGACCCCAAAGATCATCCAGTTCCAGCCTCCCTGCCATGGGCAGGGACACCCTCCACTACACCAGGTTGCCCAAAGCCTCATCCATCCGCATCCATTGATACATCCTATAATACCTGTGTGTTACAGAGCACTGCTCCGATGAGTTCCTAGTATTCATGAGCACATTTGGGGTGTCCACAGCCAGATTGCTCAGCTATGTGTGCTTGAAGTTTAACTGTGTTGGATGCTAACGTGGCACTACGTTAGCATCCAGCTACTAGTTAACAGCAACTACTAGTTAATGAGCCTGCCGTGCTGGCTCTGTGGGTTGTTTGGCAGGTGCGTGGCCAAACGCACCACCCCTTAGGGGTGGTGAGATACTTCGTCATAAACTCAGTATGGAAAGCGACTTGAGAGTACAGCATGGCCTTAATGTGATAAAGTAGATATTTCTTCAAGCTTCCAGTTCTTACTGTTGATCCCTGATACTCCATGAAAAGTGCCCAGGAAGTAACCTAAATAGAGGTATGTATTAAAATTGGGAGTGTCAAATGTAGCACGACACACGAAATCATCTGAGTTTAATCACTTAATTTTGCAGTGAAATGCTGTGCTTGCTTTAGATTGTTACTAACTCGGGTCCATTGAACTTCCTAGAATAGGCAAAGACTTTTTCAGGGTGAAGGTGATTTAACATTTTGTCAAAGATGATATGGATCTGTTACAGCCGGAGTAATAAAAATAGAATTAAATAAAAGGAGCCACACTTGTTTAAAGGTGAAGGTATTTTTGAATTGTCTGTTTTGACAGAAGTAGTAGACTTGTACTTGAGTCTGCCATGCAGTAGGCGTGTGGAGGGAATGCCATCCAGCAGTAAATCTTCCTGTGGTTTATAATTTCTTCATGGGAAGAGCCAGCTAAGGGCGAGGTGAGGTTTGTCCCCTTGGCTGTGTGCTTGCTATGGACATTGTATTTTTTCAGTGGATTTGTTTGGAATGTTTGGATGTTTTGGATGTTTGCTTCGTCAATACTGTAATTTATTTAGGGTGTGTTTCTTGTTGCAGAATCTGGAGTGGCATTTGTGATCATCTAGATAACAGGTTAAAATGTTCTGTTAGCAGTTTAATTATTCCTCCATGCATGGCATTTCTTCAGAAATTCAACCAAAATCTTTTGTTGGAAAAGTAAAGCTGTTGTGGCACTTTATCCCTAAGCACAACACTTCCAGACTGCTACCATCAGCCTTCAAAATGAAACACAACCAATCAATCTTTCTAGTTTGCATGTAATTGCCTACAGCTAAAATAAAGCTGTTTTTTTTTTTTCCCCAGTTCCTTACAGTAGAAATGAGTTAATATATTGGCGATGGAATAACCATCAGCAATCAGCCTTCAGCTGTTTACTAATGAACTCCCAGATGTATGAAAAATTTCAGAATCTGTGTTTTACTTCAGGCTGTACATGAACTTAACGCTTCAGTTGTAGAAAGAAAAGCAACTTGGATGCCATACATATAAATACTGCTACTTTATATCTCAATAAATTGCAGATCATGAAAACTGCAGGAAGCTGTTGTGAAAAATCCATATTTCAAAAACTAATAGGTGGTCTTGCAAGCTGAAATCAAAGGTTATTCTTCTATGGCACTTTGATTCTTTTTCCTGTTTAAAGCTTCTTTATTTTTTTTATTCCTTTATTAAAGCCTTTAAGCATTGTCTCTGTTTTTTTTAATATTTGTATAGGGTTTTTCATTTGTCTGCACAGCATTTGTTGGAATTCTTTGAGGGAATTCGTAGGATTGCAAGGGCATTTAAATCTAAACCAGAATGAGTTGGCAAAGATATAAAACACACATTATTACCACAATGATTTATGGACAAATTCTCATGGATCCCTTTGCAAACCATATGATGGTGTTGTCTAGGAGGCTTCTGCTTCCTGAGAAGGGATGTGCATGCAAGCGGCAGTGGCAGGTGTTGAAATATTTTAGGATAAAGACCACTTGTCAGAAATGAAGCAACTTCAAGTTGCTTTAAGTACCCTTCCAGTACTTAAAGGGGGCCAGCAGGAAAGCTGGAGAGGGGCTTTTTACAAGGGTGTGTAGTGACAGGACACGGGGCAATGGATTCAAACTGAAAGAGGGGAGATTTAGATTAGATCTAAGGAAGAAATTCTTCCCTCTGAGGATGGTGAGGCACTGGCACAGGTTGCCCAGAGAAGCTGTGGCTGCCCCATCCCTGGAGGTGTTCAAGGCCAGGTTGGATGGGGCTTTGGGCAACTTGGTGTAGTGGAGGGTGTCCCTGCCCATGGCAGGGGGGTTGGAACTGGATAATCTATGAGGTCCCTTCCAACCCAAACCGTTCTGTGATTCTATGAAAATTCCAAAATCTTTCCATGTGTTGCGATGTACTTAGCTTTTTTTCCTGATTAGCATAATTTTCATAGCGCAGCTCCTAGATTGTGGAGGAACAGTGGAGTTGTGAATCAAGATTCGATCATCACTTCTAAAGATCAAGTTGTTGACTTCCTTCTGTGGTAGAGTACAGCAGACCTCTTCTGCTCTGTTTCCTTATGGAATAAATATCTGCAGTACACTGGGAAGCATCCAGTAGGCTGATGTCTTCTCTGGAGCTTTGTGCTTCTGTGTCAGTCGAAGTGTTAAGTGAATGAAGATGACTTGGAACATCAGCCTGAGGTTTCCTTCAAGGTTACCCCATAAAGAATGGACTTGTTGACATAAAGGCTACAGCCTAGGTGTGGGTGGTGTGTACGTGTGTGTCTTGTGCTTTAAAGTGATTTTGAAGAGTTTCTGTAGAGACTAATGACTTAAGAAACAATTTATCTTAAAAAAAAAAAGTAAAGTCGTATTAGGTACTCGTGTGAACATCGTTGAAAATGGTTGCGTACTGTGTAGCTCTGGAGAAGCACCAGACTTACAAGGCTATGTTCTTTTGTTCTGTAATTCCAATAATAAATATTTTTTTCCCCTTTATAATATTTCAGGGTGTTGATAGAGCAAAGAATAACACACTAGAGCTGTTGTGAACTTACTGCCTAGAAGGATTGGGAACGCTTTGTTTAAAATGATGTGTAATTCCTCTTTCTGTGTTTGCAGGTTTCAGCAAACAAATGGTGGAGATACTGAACAAACATGGGATTTCATTTAGCAGTTTTGATATTTTTTCTGATGAAGAAGTTCGTCAGGGGCTCAAAACATACTCTAATTGGCCAACTTACCCGCAGTTGTATGTAGCTGGAGAGCTTATAGGTGGAGTTGATATTGTCAAGGTTAGAAACTAAGACATTCTTAATCTTGCTAGTTGTCAGAAGCATGTTTTTCTTGCTTTTTACATCTGATTTTTCTTCTCCCTAATCTCCCTAGGAACTTGAGGCGTCTGGAGAACTGGACACAGTCTGTCCGAAGGCACAGAAATTGGAGGACAGGTGTGATGTAGTACGTCGTTATTTGAAGGGTGTCTGTGTTTGAGGTTTCCTGGATGTTCATTTATATAGGGGACACCTCCTATACAAGTTCCTGTTCTTTGGCTTTATCAGAAGTGTGTCAAGGTCTTCTTTAATTGCAGAACTGCTGCAGTTGTTTAATGTTTGATATTCTGTACAGGAAGCATAGCTTCATACAAAGCTATGCTGTTACCTCTGTATTAAGCAAAGCCTATTGGAACTGTATCGCTTGTTATTTTTGTAGTTTGTTAATTTTTAGTTACAGCAGGAAGACATAGATTCCTTTTTGTCTTTCTCTTAACAATTTATTCTTTCAAGATAACTGGGAAAACAGTCTTTAAACATGAGTAGCTTTTGATAGCTTCATTTGGCATGGGCTGGTGGTTTAGGCCGGCTGGCAACTGAATGCCACACAGCCGCTTGCTCACCCTCCCCCACCCCTGGAAATGGGGAAGAGAAAGGGGGAGGAGACCCGAGGGTTGAAGTAAGGACAATTTAATAGTTATAATAATATATGAACATATATATGTTCATAATAATAATATATATACAAACAAGTGATGCACAGTGGAGTTGTTCACCACCTGGCAGCCAATGCCCATCCTGTTCTGGCAAATGATCCCGAAACAGCGTAGTCTTGACACAGCAATCCTGGATGAGTGAGAGGCCTGGAAAGAGAACGAGAGAGAGAGAGCACTCAGAGTGAGAGGCCCCAGGAGAGCAGAGGCACCTTCTTTCCAGTCAGCCCTCTGTCTGTATACTGGGCATGATGTTGCATGATACAGAATATTCATTGGCCAATTTAGCCCTCAATCCTAAGTCTAAATTCAAATCACAAGGGGAGTTGTGACTTTGTCCCAGCCGTGCTCCCCCCAGCCTGTTGCGCTCCTGCACACTGGCAAAAACACAGGAAACTGGAAAGTCCTTAATGTCTCCTTGCCAACTATAAACATCAGTGTGTTATCAATGTTCTCATGAGGAGTCCCAGACTAAAACCAAAACACAGAGCTCTTGTAGCTGCTGAAAAGAAAAACTGACTCTGTCCCAGTCAAAATCAGGACAGACTTCATAACTGTGATGTCACTGGAGAAAATATCTAGGCTTGTCTCCTCATTTTCCATGATTACTCATGCCCTTCAGTTCCTGTTTTCTTTCGCCTTGGCAACACGAATATATGCTGCATCAGGAGGAAGTGTGTTGCTTCCCAAATCGGATGCAATACCTAGAAACCAGTTTGTCCTCCTTTAACCTTCCATGTGAAGATTTGCTGTCGTTTGAAATCCTGACGTGCCCCAGGCAGTCAAGCTCCAGATATCTGACAAGTAATCCTTCTTGAGAAGCTGCTGGTAGAGCTGGCTTTTTTAGCTGTTTTTTGTGTGAATAGTGCCATTAACACATGCAAAGGGGGCTGCTTGGCCAAGAAGGCAGCCTGCACCTTGCAGGCGAATATGTTAGCGTAGAAGATTCCCTCTTGCTGTCTGGGGATGGGGAGAGCAAGTTTTGCAGTGCTCTAGATGTGACTGGTACAGGTTCTTTTGCCTTCTCAGCACAGTGAAGAAATAATTTAAAGCAAGCCATTTTGATATGGTGATAAAGTTATACAGTTTTTTGTTTGCTTAATGTTTTTTGGGAAAGAAGGTAACGTGAAGTGTCGTCTGCTTGCCTGATGTGTTTCAATAGATTAAAATTGTTGCTATAGCTAAATGTCTCCCTAAAGGAGCAGCAGCATCATCTTTTGAACAAGTGTGTGAAGTTGCTACCAAATTTTGATGTAGAAGTGGCCTGAAGGAAAACTGGCTAAAAATTGACCAGACAAGTCACAAGTAGTTTCTCGTTGCCTAGTTTGTTCTTCATCTTTTAGTAGGTGTTTGTTTCTTGGGTTAATACGTGACATTTAGCTGAGGTCTGTTTTCTGGTGACAACTGGGAAATATTTTTTCCATGACACAGATTAGGGTTTTTTTATAGCTCACCTCATACTTAACTTCTGAGCAAGCTGTATTCACTGTCAGTCACTCGTAAGAAAACACCTGTGAAGTAGCTATTCAAACATATTAAGACTTAATAAAGTGAAGGAATATCAAGAGTAGAATCTATTTAATGCTAAATTATCTTCCTTTACTCAATGTTTGATCTCTTCCCATCAATTAACTGCGTTTTCTTCACTTGAAAATACTCTTGAAAATGGACTCTGGAAATCAGCTTAGTTTCATGAAACAGATCTGGCAGCTGGGGAACCAGCTCGGATTCCTGTAGCTCACCCTTGCTGTAGCTTTAGTTTTGCTGCTTTTTAACCTCGAGACAACTTGGTTGGAAAAATTTGTTTTGCAAAGTCCCTGGGTTCTCTAGTCTAGAATCTTTTTTGCGTTGTGTGAGTTATGCACAGCAACCTTTTACAGAAAATGATCACCTGTTACGTGTTTTAGAGAGGGTAGTTAGCAGGAAACGGTTGGACAGGAGTTTTTGCTAACCTTTTTCCATGAGTAGTCACAAAAACCCATCCCTGAAAGGAGGGGGAAAGGAGGGGAGTGTCGGAGGGTTGTGTGGGTAGACCAGGAGTGGACAGAGCACAGTGGGACCTATTCCTGAGTAAGTTTTCAGTCCTTTGTTCGTAAGTCCATAGACCTTTTAGGGCTGTTCAGCCTGGAGAAGAGAAGGCTCCAGGGTGATCTTGTTGCAGCCTTCCCATACTTAAAGGGGGCTACAGGAAAGCTGGAGAGAGACTTTTTACAAGGGCATGTAGTGACAGGACACGGGGAGATGGCTTTAAACTGAAAGAGGGGAGATTTAGATTGGATATAAGGAAGAAATTCTTCCCTCTGAGGGTGGTGAGGCACTGGCACAAGTTGTCCGGAGAAGTTGTGGCTGCCCCATCCCTGGCAGTGTTCAAGGCCAGGTTGGATGGGGCTTTGAGCAACGTGGTGTAGTGGAGGGTGTCCCTGCCCATGGCAAGGGGGTTGGAACTGGATGATCTTTGAGGTCCCTTCCAACCCAAACCGTTCTGTGATTCTGTGGAGAACAGGTATGGCTCTTGCTCTGCAGCAGACATTCTCACATGGAGAGTGAGAAATGCCAAGTATTATGTTCAGACTGTGAAAAAGCAGTGGGTGACTAAGCATAGGCATATTTAAACAAACTTACTGCTGCTCCATGCTTTGAGGTCAGTCTAGGAAAGTGAATTGTTGCTCTAAAAGTAACAGGATAGTTCAGCTTAAGTTGCTAGAGTTACTGTAAGCAATTTAAATGAACAGAGTTGCTTATAATAATGCTTTGAATGCGTTTGGTCAAGGTGTAAGTTGCTGTCTTTCCACTTTTGTGTTTCGTTTTCCTGTAGAAACAAAGCTCGGGATAATAACCAAGCTGGTTCATGTCTTTTTTTCTGCCTTCTCTAGGCTTAAAATGTTGATAAACAAAGCTCCTGTGATGCTTTTTATGAAGGGAAGCAAACAGGTAAGGTTAAGTGTTACAGAATGTGTTATACTTCAACAATTTTTTAAACAGTGACAATTACCTTCTTTTCCTTGCTTAATGTAAATTAATGGTGCTGGGAAGTTAGTTATTTATCTTTTTTATTTGGTGCTTCTGTAAGCCATAGAAGAGCAGTCCCTGTTTCACCATTGCTAAAATGCTGATAGCTGTGTTACAGGAAAATCAGGGAATTTGTTGTCTGTCAATTGGATCTACAATTCAGGAATGAGTGGAAGAACTGTGAATGTCCTTTTGGTCTTAGTTATTGATTGTCTCTGCAGATAATGGATTTTGTTCCCATGTTCTGAGTGCTTGCTGCTGATGGCTGTCCTACTTTAGGCGTACACTTTGACTGTTGCCCAAAATTTTATCTCTGGACACACGTTTCTTGGAATTTCCCTTCGTTGACTTAATTGGATTGGGTGTCCTATCTTTTTTAATTTCTCTGACTTTGTTACACTTTCACAACTGCATTTTAAAAAAGCTGCTAGGTGTTTTTGAAGCTAAAGTATAATGTCACATACCATAAATGATCTGCTTCTTTTCTCACATGCATGGAATAGTCTGTGCCTCCTGTCTTTAAGCTGCATTTAATTATCTTGCTCACTGAAAGATAGTGACTGAAGGCAGACAACTGCTAACAGGATTGAAATAATAACAAATGAAAGGTCAGTCTGTTGCTTTGTGTTGCATTCTCAAAGTAAGCAGGGGATAAATTGTTCCCTTTTGGACAGCAAGGCACTACAGTTCCTCCTGTCCAAATTACTGAACGGCACCTAACTCAGACTTCTTGGAGTCGTGCACCCTAAGCAATCATTGTAGTTAGTGATTGCGTTTGACACCATTATATGGTATTTTTTTGAAAGGATACAGAGATGGGGGAGACTGTCTGTTTCATGTTCTCATGCGTTCCCTGAACCTTCTCTGTGTAACAGATGCTTTAGGAGTGCACTAAGCTGTTTCACTAAGCCATGTCGTAGCCACTGTGGCTCTGTGAGTTATGCTGGCTCAGTGAAACAGTGGGGATGAGCCACTTGGGCATAGGTCTTTGAACAGATCACTTCTGTCTCCTTCAAAACCCATGTCTTGCCTGAAGAGAGCAAAAGTTAAACAAGTTGCTTAACACGTTTTGAATTTACTTGAGCTACTGGTGGAGTGAAATCTCTAATAAGAAGGGATAGTCTGGATGAAAAATCCAATGTCTAAAAAACGAGTGTTCTATGTCCTTGTACTGTCAATGTGAGGAGTTTGCAGTAGATACTTTCACTTGGGAGTTGCTGTACATGCACCGTGTTTATCAGTTGGCCGCATACTGCGACTCTCTCCAGAATAGTAAGTAAAAGATAGCATACTTCTGAAAATAAACCATGTGTATTTTACAAATATACAGCATTTATGCCTGTCGTACCTGTGCTTTTGGCTTTTTGAACATTCAGAAAGTGATGGAGCCTGACTAGTTTTCAAGATGGTGTTGCCAAACCTGGAGAACAGATTCACCTTGTATTGTTTCACCCCACAACTGAGGAAAGTGTTTAGTATTCTCCATGTTTTCATTTATTTAAGCAGAGTATATAAAGAGAGATGTTCAGTACTGTTTAAAGATCAAAGAGTATAAAGAGGAGTACAAAAGGGATTAGCAGTGTTGCTCATCCACTAAGGTCATCACTAACAATAAATTGGTGATAGCTTTAGTGTAGCTTGAGGACCTGGAATTTTGTGGATTAAATATAGCAGATGTATGCTTTAACCTATGTGTGTTTTACATTCTAGGTGGCAAAATGTGGATTCAGCAAGCAAATTATAGAAATCATGAATAATACTGGGTGCGTATGTGTTTTTTTGTTTAATCTGGGAAGTCAGTTCTGGTTTAAAAACTGCAGTTTAAAAATAAAGAGTTGAGAAATACTAGTGGAAGACTTCCTCAAATATAGTTTTTTGCTTAAGTGCCTAAGAGTATTTCAGAGTATCTTTATGTAAAAGCCTGTAGTGTAAATCACTACGACACTCGTTCGATACCTAATCAAATGTGGTGTGTCAGGCACTACTCCACTTCAGCACTGCTACACAGTGATTGTCTTGCTGGGATTGAGGAGTTTATTGCAACAGGAATTTTTTCTTTCTTTGCTGTGATTGTTGACTTGAAAGAAATCCTTCCACTCTGATAAGCAGCTCATCTTAGAGGTGTCCGTCTTGATCCGATTCCTTAATCTGGGAGCCTCTCATGTTATCTAGCCTCAGTTTTCCTCTTCAGAGCAGTTCTTTCTGTAGTGAGAGGGATTAGTATCATCTTCCTCTGAATAAACTCCTGTTTGTGCTACTACTAGAGGTTAAGCAGTTGTCTTGCTTACTAGATGTTAGAATGGACTTTTTGAGATAATAGACAACTATATCTCAATATACAACTTGGAAATAAGTAACAGTTACTCAAATCACTCTTCCTTGTCACTGGCTTGTAACTGGCTGGTGATTGGAGACTGCCAGTTCTTGGAAGACTAGGAGTGGTGTACCAAAACTCATGTTTTGGCCAATGAGAGCCTAAGCCACACCACTGAATTTTTTATTGTGTTACGCCCTCATCTGAGGAGTTTCCCATGAAACTAGACATTTTACTACATCACAGTTGTTGGTGCATAAGCTGTTGCCTTTTTCCCTGCTGTTACCTGTTCATTGTGAGTGATTGGAGGCTCGCTTGTAAACCTGCCTGTTGTGAATTTTTGAGGGTCTTCCATTGCCAAACTCCACAGTAGATGATTTTGTTTTGTTTTGTTCTTTTAGCATTGATTATGAGACGTTTGACATACTGGAAGACGAAGAGGTAACTAAGACTTTCCATCACTGAGGATTTTGTTGTTGCTCTTACTGAAGCTGAAGTTTACATTTAAGATTACTTCTCGTAGGTGCGGCAAGGATTAAAAACCTATTCCGACTGGCCGACGTACCCCCAGCTGTATGTGAAAGGTGAACTTGTTGGAGGGCTGGATATTGTTAAGGTAGGAATGGGAGAATCTCGTTGGAGATGTAAATGGACCAGTTGTTGAGAACTGGTGAAACGTTTTCTGCCCATAACACGCAGGAATTCCGGTGGAGCGGCCCTGGATCTAGAACCCCAATGACTTGGTTGCTTCTACTGTGACTTTTATGAGCTCAACACACGTGGAAAGGAGCTCTAAATCTCTGGCATTCTCATCTGCCAAGGTTTAGCAGTGAAATGTATTTTCTTGACAGCAGTCGCTTGCTGTTACCGTAAAGACCGTTTTTACCCTGTGGGTGCATTTTTACAGGTTTCTCTCCCTAGTTTTACTTCTGACATTGCTTTTCTCAAATAAGGTGGGCGAGACGTTTTTTCCTAGCAAACAGTCTCGTTCCTGGAAGGAAGTAAGGTTTATTGGAGTTGTTTGAACAAACCCTGAAGCAACAAAAATAGATCTGCATCTCTTACTGTGGTTTTTGATTTTCGTAACAGAGCAGGCACAGTGTTCTAAACCCCAAATACTCTTGAGCCCATTCTTGTCTGAATGTTTTATAGCCAATTCCTCAGACGTTGTAACTCCTGGGAAGATACAATCAATAAATCTCATTTAGTTCTAAAAATACTGATATTACTTAAATTATATAGATTACTTTAATTTTATTTATTTAACAAGTGTGTGGGTTATTTCAGTGATCAGTAAGTATAGTCTTGGGCATTGCAGAGATGCTGCAGAATACTTCTCTCACTGGTATTTAAATGTAATTAGTCTGTTTGCGTTGTTGGGCTGTGTTTGGTTCACACTGACTAACTTGTGTGGTAGGTGAATGTTGTCAGTGGTTTAAAATACATTCTGCATTATAGCATAATACGTGGTAAAATTGAGACAGCTACTTCTCTTGAGATGTGGGAAAGGAATATGTACTCCACAAGACGTTATTTTAAAATTATTTCCTGGTGTTATCTAGCTCTTTAATAAGTTAACAGCCTTATAATTGGAATTTAAATCACCAAGATAATATGAGCAAGCACCTTTTACTTAGAACACTTACAAATCTCTTTCTGTCTTGTTTGTTTTCATGGGTGGTAGTAACAAAATCTATCAAGGGATGGTCACTTTTCATTTTGTAGGAGATGTTTTGGACGTTGTAGAATTTTGCATATGCCTGAAATATATCTTGAATTCATCTCAAAGGAGATGTACCAGGGGATTTACCTGGTGAAGTCGTTAACAACCAGTTCTTTCGAAGGTGTATCTTTTCACTACATAATTTCCTCTCTTAGTAAATTGACACAAAACAGAACTTAAATACAGCCTTAGGAACTTCAGTGTCTTGGTCAAGAGGGGCCTCTAGTGGGTCCTGCAGTGAGTGCGTTCCCTTCATAGCCAGGGAACGGATTTCCTTGTCTGTGAACGGTCCCTGTTGAAATCTTGTTGGGATAATCAGCTGTGTGCATCGAGAATAATTGCTGTCTGTATTTCTTTACAGGAGCTGAAGCAAAATGGTGAATTGTTGCCTGTTCTGAAGGGTGAAAATTAATGGAAAGGACATTGATGGGAACAGAAATACTTTGAACAATTCTTGTTTGTAGGTTATATTGGAGCAATATACAACTCAGCCCTGTGGAACTGGTCAGGAGTAAATAAAGACGGCCGTGTTACCTATGAAAATGTATTTGCACTGAAGATACACAAATGTCAAGATCTTCAAATTCAATTAAAATACAATGCTAAAGAACTTTGGGTTTATTATTGCACTCTTTCTGTGTATTCATTGCATCTAAACGTGTAAGAATTCAGTAAAGACACGACTATCCATTGCAGTACTATACAGGACGTCTGGTCTTTTGGGGCTCAGCTCTCATTAGGAGAATATTAATGGGTATACCTCTGTAGTATGGAGCATAATAATTTTCTGTCCCTGTTAATATTTGTTTTTGTGTCTAGTGAGTGAGAAAAATACTCTTGAAACCTTAATCCGGTGCACCATTAGGAAGTTGTTAATGAGTTTCAACTGGATACTGTGCACCTTCATTACCTAAGTAGGTACAGTAATTGTTCATTTCAGATGTTCATCCTGTTTTAATGTAGCTTTTTGGGCGTATTTAAATGATGGTGGCAATGAGCCAATAAACACAGTGATTAGGCCAGTCTTTTGGTGTATCCTTCGGGCAGGTGCAAAGGTTTGCTTTCTAGGCTCTCACTTCGGCAGTTTAAATCATCATGTTAATACATGAATCCTTCACCTCTGTATTCAGAGGATTTAGTTTGGTTTTAATCCTTCTTTCGATGCCCGTAACACTTTGAAATGTAATGGGCTCTCATAATGGGCTGACCATCAAACCAGCTCCAGCACAGGTGTGCTTGCAAGTGGGTAAAGGAGGGTGTTTCTCTTCAAGAGAAACACTTTTTGCCTGCAGGTCTTTTGAGTTCTTAGCATCTGTGCTGAGACTGATGAGGTGTTTGTTTTGGAAGGTGGTATTGTGTCTGTGAAACACCGAAATGTTTTTGGTGAATTACTTGGGCTGCTGTGTGTGACAGTAGTATCAGCTGCTGCTGGCTTCTCGCTGTGAAATACTGGTTTAAGCTGTTTTGCGTGCGTTTGCCATCCCCAGTAAAGAGGACAAAGGACACCATGTTCTTGGAGAGGTCTCCCCTTATGAAACCCAGAGAATGGAGCACTGGTGAGCAGAAAAGTGCCTGAACCTCACCAGTACCACGTTTTGAGCAGAGGGGTATTGCCGAAAGCCTTTTCCTCGCTGATTTGTGTGTTGGTTGCACTTGCAGAGAAACATCCGTATCTAGTTGAAATTCATGGCCAGAAACTTCTCCCAACAAGGAAGCAACTTCTCAGGAGAGGTCATCAGGACTGAACACGTGCTCTTCAAAATGTGCCTTGAAGAAGAAATTCCCGCTGAGTTAGGTGGTACGATGAGTTAGGCAGCAGCTGAGACTTAAGATTTTGGAAGCAAGTCTGGGGCTTCATTGCTTAAATTCTAAATATAATCTAAATATACTGGAACCTGAAGCAAGACTGTTACTGGACTTAGTCCGAGACTAGTAAAGGTTGACTGCAGAGAAGAAGGTAATTAATACATGTTTAATTAATTAATACAGAATTCTTAAAGTGATTGATACTTAATTCAATCCAAGTATTAATTTTCTAGGAATAATTGTAGTAATTACCATAAAATAATATATGTTAGAACTTTAAAGCCTATTTTAATGGCTGTTAAAAAAAATCTTGTCCCTCTCATGAAAACAAACCTTAATTCATCTCCGAAAGTGAATCGCAAATGCATCCAGGCAGTTGTCAGTAGTAGTTGTAACCTACTTCATTTAAAAAAACAAAATAAAATTATACTAAACAGTAGCATCCCTGTGGTCAAATTAGGAGTTAGAACCTCAAATTAAACCAAGATTAAATGCAAAATACTATTTCTTCTGCAATAGTTTGGGTGTGTTTTTTTAAAAAATCCTTTCCTTTTCCTTCAAAATTCGCTGTAGTCGAGTTAAACCTTGAGTAGTTAAGAGTCCTACTAGTATAATTATAGAAGTGTGACAGACTGCGAGTGAATAGTGGTTGTTTTTTCCGACAACTCATGTTTCCATGTTCCTTACGCTCCAGCACTGCGCTGCAGACACGGGTAGGAGTGAAACTGCGGTGCTGCTGCTCGTGGCTGGTGACTCCCAACTTTTCACCGTGCTCAACAGAGGTCTCCAGCTTTGGTGATCAGCAATGTTTGGTGTATTTAGCACTCGTTCTTTTCTCAGAATCCACTGTCAGCCAACTCCGTGTGAGTTAGAAGGGCACTTTGGGATCTCTTGGAGCAAACCCAGCCTTGGAAACGAGCACTTTTAACAGCAGGTTGTCCAAGGAGCTTTTCCAACCCCTTCTGCTTCTGGCCTCGAGCGTAGCCCGTGGCTGGATTCAGAATGCTTGGGAGATCTCCCCAGTGTGGGGAGACACCTTCCAGATCTCGGGGTGTTCAGCGTGGCAGCCGCAACACCAGCCTCCAGCAGTGTAATGGTGTGAACGGGGTGACATGTCTGGATTTCACGCTGGTGCTGCTGAAATGGTTCTGCAGGTGCCGTATTCCTGCCCAGGGCTGGTGCTGCTGCGGTGCAGGGGCACCCCTGTGTCGCTGAGGAATTCGTTCTGAGTCTGTGCATGGGCTTTCATGGTCCTGTCGCTGGAATTCTGTCCAGGTTGGGTTGTGTCTGAGGAGCTGCAGGACTTGGGGAAGGGAAGGATGCGCGGGTGGAGGCTGCCTCTCCGTGGTAGCAGCGCGCACGTCGCACCACGCGGCTGCCCTGCCGTCCCTCCCAGCTCAGCCGGAGAGCCGGAAAGGCTGCAGCCATGTGAAACAAGCCTGGAAATTATTTCAGCCACATGCTCAAAACCCTGATTCAAGGGACTGCCAGGGAGCGTGGTGGGTGCTCTGCTGCTGCCTCGCAGGGATAACTCCTGCCCTTACGCAGGAATACGGGATCCCTCTGCCTCTGGAATAGCGTGTGCTGCCGAGAGCAGGCGGAAGCTTGGCTTTATGTGGAATGGAAGGGACAGTGGTGTGTAGTGCTGAGGTGAAGATGAGGTCGATGAATTCACTGGAGGAGTAAGAAGTGCTGGTGGAAGTTACGCAGTGGGTACCTGTGAGCAGGGTGGGTGCTGGTTCCAGTTCCAGCTTTCCACATGCACACACGTGTTGCCTTCCACAAACGCATTTCCTGGTGCTCTTCCCGAAGTCGCTGCTCTTACCTGCCAGTAGAAAAGTGTCGGCTGAGTTCTCGGAATTTTTCTGCCAATTAGAATTGCTGGAGCAACACAGTGAGATGGTGTTCCCAGACCTCTATAAAGTTGAGCGTGGGGAGGCCTGGGGTGCTGTGCTGGGGCACATCCAAGGGAAAATGCGTGATTTGCACAGGAGGGAAGAAAGGCAAGGAAGTGTCAGAGCTCCAGTCCTCCAGGTGAGGAGGTAAGTGAGATCTTGAGCTTTTTGGGCTGCTAAGGATGGCATGTTACTTTTTACTGGTGGAGAAGTATTTGATACTGGTATTTGGGTACAGTTAATTCTATGATTCTGTGCACTTGTATTCTGCATGTTTGTATTTTTCTTTTAATTTTTTTTCCCCTTACTTGTCCCAAGATTTCAGTTAGATTCTTTTTTTCCTGTGCTTTAGTATTAGGGCATAAGGAAGTGTATGAGGCTGGTCAAGAGGGGAGGAACAAGTTGCCTGGAGAGGCTGGGGCTCTCCGTCCTCAGAGCTGTTCAGGACTCAGCTAGGTTAATCTCAGAGAAACCGGACCTGGTTTGATCCGCTTTTAGCAACAGGTTGGACGAGATGATGCACAGAGCTCTGCCCCAACCTGAATTAGTCTCTGCTTTTGAATGACACAGCAGCAATGTGTTAGTTAATTAATGCAGAACAGCCCCGACAGCTCCCTTGGAGTGGCCAAAACGAGTCCTGCTGCCGTGCCGAACTGCTGTATGGTATGAACTGTATTTAATAACTTTGCCCAACGGATAACTGCCAGCCCCCGTCACCTCCTCTGGGCTTGAATAAGAAATACTCTGAAAACACAAGGAAGTATTCAGGTTTTTTAAAGGCAAGTGTCATATAGCCGAGATAGGTAATGCAATATCGTTTTTAAATTAAAAATTAATCTGGCAATACGTGAACGTTGGTTAAAGGCTTCTGACAGTCCAAGGAGAAATCTGATGCAGTTAACGATTTTAATTAGGGGAGTATTTCGTGGAAAGTAATCAGAAAGATACAGTATCTCATTTCACAGAGGCAGGAGTGGAGGAAAGTGGTGACTTCTTCAAGTAGTAGTTGCAGGCAGCTGATTGAGACGAGACTATGGAGCTGCTGAAAGCACAGTCGGTGAACGTGGGTATAAGGAGCCTGGTCACTGTCTTCCTCTTCTCCCAGTGTGTATGGTCAGGGGGAGCAGAGTCCCTTCCCAGGCTAGGGAAACACTTGGAAGTGGGCTAACGAAATCAAGGGGAGAGGAGACGGAGATGTTGGTACAGTCCTTGCCTCCTCCTTTGTAGGAAAACTGGCATCCCATGGTTAATTCAGGGTCCATAAGTCCTTCAGCCGCGTGGTAAGTGTTCACCGTTCCCTGCTGTCAAGTAGTCGTGAGCTCCATGAGTGTGAAGTACTTGCCCTGTACCAGAACTGTTCGTGCCCAGCCATACCTGCAGTCACACTGGTATTGCTACTGACTTTATTGCTTGTGTACAGAAATGTTTAAAAACTTGAGTAAAGGGGTTTCTGGTGTGTACTGGGGAAAGAAAAGGCCTCTCTCTCTTCTGCATGTGCTGAAGACCTCGAGTGTAACAGGACCGATGCTTTGGTGGGACTCTGAGCTCCAGCTGAGCTGCTGGTTTCCCAGAAGCCTAAAGAGGGAAGGGACGCCATCCAGCATCTGAAATTCTGCCTTGGACTTATGGAAAGAAATACTGGCAGTGCCCCCTCACGTTGGGTCCCACCAGGACCTACAAGGTGTCTACACTGTCCCACCAGTGTCTACAA